AAATAGGTGCCTTTAATAGCGCTAAAGAACCTGGTCAGTTAATATTGCAGAGATAATATGTTAAATCAATCTATGTTTTTTGCACCATCTTGCTATAACTATTAGTGAGGTAGATATATAAGGTTTTATTCGGATTATTTGCGAAGTTCAGCAGGGTTGGGACAATAATTCTCCTTTTCGTAATGCTACTGGTCTGCAGGGGTGTTTCTTAGGACAAATTGACTGGAAAAAAAACGAAAATTGAAGAATTTTTGGTATCTGATAATTTTTGGGGTTGAAATGGGGCACATTTTCAAAATGGCCATGGTAATGTGGTGATGTTCTGTTGTTGGAGGTAACCTGTAACGATCCTGGCCCTGTGACATCTTGCGTTGTCATCCTGGAAGATGAAACGGCGGCCATGACGTCGTGCGAACGGCACAACATGGACTGCCAAGATGTTGTCCCGGTAGTACTGGCCTGTAACACGCCCTGCAACAACATGTAAAGCCGTTCTTCCAGCAACAGTGATGCCTCCCCACACCATAACAGAACCACCCCCAAATCGATCATGTCTGATGACGTTAACGTCTTGGAAGCGCTCGTTTCGACGACGCCACACCCTCCTACGTCTGTCCAAAAAATCAACAGTGAACCCTGACTCATCTGAAAACATCACATTGCTCCAGCGTCGATTATCCCAGTGTTGACGATCCCTACACCAACGACGTCTTGCCTGAATGTGATGATCTCTCAAACAAGGGATCACGCGAGGACGTCGGGCGCGAAGGTGACCCCTATGCAGTCGATTCCGAATCGTCTGGCCACTCACTCTCACACCAGTGTCTGTTTGAAGACGAGCGCTGATCTGATTTGCTGTGATGACACGATTTCTCAAGGCCAAGGTACGGATAAATCGATCCTGGCTTGAGTTGTCGCCCTTGGTCAACCTGAGCGTGGTCTGTCCTGTACAGATTGTGTATCACGGTATCTGGACCATAGCCTGCTTATGACAGACTGAGAAACATTCATCGTCCGCGCCACAACCGCCTGTGTTGTGCCGATCTGTAGCATGCCAAGGGCACGTAACCTTTCATTTTGGGTAAGCCGACGCATATCAAAATTTGTTTTCTGGTCACTAAAACAATTAAACTGATGTTTCCACCCTGGAATTCAATGCCACAATGACTGTAACATTCAAAGTCAGAGTCGTGCAAATCTTGGGTTGGACCCCCATGATGATCCCAAGCATCACCTGCATTCCATGCGGTAGCTATTGGTGCGTTTGGGCGTCACATGTAACTGGAAATGTTTCTTCTGTTAGGTTCTATAGTGACTTTTTTCGTAGTCATTTGCATATTTTAGTATTATGCCCCCAAAATCAAATATCCCCTACTTTTTTTGAATAGTATATTATAAAATATTTTAAATTTAAATCCCCTATTCTTAGGATGTTTCTAGATTTTTCTAAAAATCGTTTAAAGTAGCCAAGTCTCTAACTCAATATCATCCAAAATCTTTAACATTGAAAACACGATTTATTTGTCAAATTAAATCAACGTTCATGTTGTGATCTTACCAGAAAAAGATGGGCTTTTGATATCCAATATTTAAGACCAAAAACCCCCCATTTTACCATTGGTACACGAATCGTGTACCATAATGCGCTTCAGCCCTAGTTGTATCAAGAGACTCGAGGGACGAGGCTAGACACATTGCACCAAATCAAACGGCGTATGTAGACTCGAATAACCAGATGCTAGTAATTTGCACTCGCTTGAGACTGCTGGCTTATTTCGCCGAACATAACTGATTTGAAATTGGAGTAAAAACGGAAACCATTGAATGTAAATCAGTTTATATACATTCATATTACAGTATTATATGCGTTGCGACCCACTTTTGTCAATTTCTAGGTCCAAAATGTTAGCGATTTAGCTCCTTTAATGTCGTTCTTCGTATCCGCATCAGACTGCGATGCTGTAGGGGCAAGTTTCTTTTATGGAATACGCTAAAGCTTTTTCTTGGCCACATCCCAATTTCAAATTTCCCTGACTTTTTACAAAAACTAGGAGTATATTGCAGGGTCACTATCCAAAAGGTCTGCGCCCAGAATGGCTTCACCAATGTCCAGGTAATGCAACCTTTGTCAGTTGGAATTTTCAATAAAAGTAGGCCGTGGAGCTGCTGTCTAGACAAAGTTTCCCTCATAGCACACTGCATTGGCACAGAAAAGTAGTTTGCTTGATAAATATGCTGGAGTTTAAAATAAATGAAATGAAATGGGGTTTAACGTCCTACTGTTTTGCTCCGAACTGGGCTAATGAAGACGGGCATACGCCTTACAGTGTGCCATGAGGGAAATTTTGCCCGGACAGCGGCACTGCGGCCTACTCTTATATCGAATTCCAACTGTCAAGGGATCTTTTACGTGCACGCCAATGTGTACACGGGACCTCGGTTTTTGGTCCCATCCGAACGACTAGACAGCTGTCCTTGTCAGGCCCTCCGTCCTGCATCAGAGATTAAAATAACGGTGGTCTGTACCTAAGAAGTTTATTTTTGTCACCATGCTGGCTTTTCCATCTAGTATCACGTTGTCAGTGGTGCATGGATGGAAGGGAACAGTGTCTAGTAATTCTGATGGGGGGGGGGGGGGAAACCGTGGTCCCATGTAAGCGTACACGTAATGGACCCCAAGACGGAGTTTGAAATAAGAGTAGGCCGTATCGCCGCTGTCTGGGCAAAATTTACCTCATAGTAGGCCTACACTGCAAAGCGTAAGCCCGTATTCATTGATGCAGAAAAATACCTTGCTTGATGAACTAAGCTATAGTTTAAATAAACGTCGTCTGTCCACAAAATGTTTGTTTTTGTTTATAAAAAGTATATCTATAACTTCTAATAAAAACATTATAGTTTCTTATTAACAAAATAACGTTTTATCACCAGGAACGTTCCAATAACAACATGTAATGATATGTGATTTGAAAATGAAATTAAATGAAATGTGGTTTAACTTTCTATTGGTCTGCCTGACTGGGCTAATGAAGACGGGCATACGCCATACAGTGTGCTACGAGGGCAATATTGCCCAGACAGCAGCGCCACGGCATACCGTTATATCAAACTCCGTCTAGGTGTATAATTGTACGTGCACACAAATGTGTACACGGGATCTAGGTTTTTCGACCCTTCCAAATGAATAAATGGCTGACTTTTTCAGGCCCTCCTTCCCGCACCACTGCCATGGGAAAAACACGCCGGAAAAACATAATATGTGATTTGAGTTGAAATATTATTAGTAGGTTGATTATTGCAGATTCGTAATCTTAGGGAAAATTGTGCTGTTGTTGGTAATCAGTGAACATGCATACGAATTGAAACTTAGGAAGCTCGCATTCTTGTCCTGTTACCTCGCGCTTTCGCACTGTCTCTACCTCGCCTTGATGTCTGGTCGAGATTATGAAATGGCCGTAACAGAGAGAGAAATGGGGTTTAACGTCCACTCGACACAAACTAGGTCATTTCGGGACTAAAACTTGGTTCAATTTTATTTCAATAATTCGCTTGCTCGTAGGGGTCTTTAGCAGTGGGAGGAAACTGGAGAGTCCGGAGAAAACCCACGGGGTTGGACAGGCGACCCTACTCCTGGTCACGTACAACTGGGGAATCGAAACGCCACCAGTTAACTCAATGACAGATAGGCTACAGCGCGCACATGCTAACCGTTTGGCCATCCACCCCCACCCCCCCCTCTGGCCGCAACAGGCTTCCACGCCCAACCGAAGAATGCTTGCCCATGCGCACTGATTGAATTCGCGGCACGACAAACCAATAATAATTGTATTTTGTCGACAAAATGAAGGCGACGATTGTCGGGTTAGTTTGTCGCGTTGTCGGGTTGAATTGGTCAACAACGTACCGGTCAGTGTGATGTACGCACAGGATCTGTGCATTAAACGTTAAAAAAACCCATAATTCCATATTTATAATATCCAAATAAACAGTCCCTTTGGTCGGATTCTCATCCAAACGACGAAGCGTGAACAAAATACAGCAGTAAACTTATGCCAAATCTATGCTTATGAGCGCGTTGAACCAACTACATCACTTCCGGTTTTAATAAAAATTAATTTCTCACTTACAAAAACTTTTTTGCTTGTGTTACAGTGGGGATTATTTATCAATATATATATTTAAGATATATTGAAACCTTCCCCTTTAAGTGCCCAAAGGTTGATCCATGCCTACCCTCATTTGGAACCTCCAGCACGCTTCTGGTAAGCTATAGTTTCCCCATGTAACTTTTAGCAGTAGCCTACTGTGGGCGCTATTGACAAAAAACCTGCCCTAGTTTTCGCTTCTTGTCGATGATTAGTAGGACCCGTGTCTTCTGTCCACAGTTAAACCTGTCGATGAAAACACTGTCTCAAATAAAACATGGCTAATTTAGCGACTATTGGAATTCGATGCTCATTAGATTTCCAGTTTACATGATGATGCAAGTGATGATTGATTGGCTGACAGGTTCTAGTCTCAAATAACATGTCAGGAACCAACTGCTTGAGCCCATATCTGTGATTTAAATGCAATTTCAGTGAAACTATATATCCCTATACATAAACAGTTATTCCTATTAAAAAAAAATAGCTAAGATAGATCAAATTTAAATATTCGAATATCCGACTAGTAATCGAATATTCCAATATCAGACTAATAATTGAATATATCCCAATATCAGACTAATAATTGAATATTCGAATACAGGAGTTCTGCGATCGAGTATTTGAATTCAGGCCAAACACTAATAGATACACTATCTGAACTATTCTGAACCTTGTCAATTGAATAGACATACTAGGTATGCAGAAACATTGCAGGATGTTGCCTCAGATATAGTTCCTGGTTGCTGCAGTATAAACATCAAATAAATTTTTGTAAGCTAAGCATTTTTCTGTATCCTCTATTGATTACTGCAACTAAAAACCACAATGCACATACTCTTTAAAACTCCAAATTTTATTAATTTTGATATTTGCCTTTGATTAGACAATTTTTGTTGATTAATGAAATATTTCCAAGGACGGATAATACAAATTTAAAACAATACATTTATAACAAAATATGTAAATAACATTACTCTTAATATTAGTCAAATAATCTGTTTAAATATTGTTAGTAATAAAGACATCTATAAAGGCAAGCCATTAAACCAAAAAATATATCTCAAGCAGAGAACATATTATATAGCACACATTAAGTATTTTTTCATATCAATTACATAAATAATTTATGAATAACTAGTCCTGAACAGTCATATTAACAGTGATTAAACCCAGCAAATATCAATGATAAATCATCACCATTCCTGACTGAGTTGGTTTAGTTCTGCACAACATACACACAGGCTGTTAATTTAGTGACAAAATTTAGTAACATTAGATAATTGCATAGTAGCACCATAAATTAACTGTGATAGGAAGATATAAAGATAGCAGCTAAATCGTCGAGCGGTCGTAAAGGGTTGTCGCACATTTATTCTTTTGTAGATAATTGGGGGCATTTATTTACAAGACAATTTCATACAGATCAGATTATAATTTTTGTCGTTTGAGGGTTCACAACCTTCTACAAAGGGCCTTAACTCTGCAAGTAATTTACAGAAATTGTTGAAATTTGACCGTTTTTTTCATTTTACTAATTCAAATAATGCATATAAATTTCATACAAAGTAAAACAAGGACCATAAATTTAGAAGTAATCCACAGAAATTGCTGAAATTCAATGTGATTCTTTGTTTTACTAATCTAATTCATGCATATAAATTGCATACAGATCGGATAATAACTTCTGTTGTTGGAGCATTCACAAGGATAATAACTTCTGTTGTTGGAGCATTCACAAGGTTCAATAAAGTGAAACAAGGACCATAACTCTAGCCTTAATTAACGGAAATTGCTGAAATTCAATAGGCTTCTTCATTTCACTAATTTAAATGATGCATATAAATTCCATACAGATCGGATGATAACTTTTGTTGTTAGAGCGTTCACAAGGTTCAACAAAGTGAAATAAGGGTCATAACTCCAGAAGAAATTAACGAAAATTATTGAAATTAAATGGGCTTCTTAATCGCACTAATGTAAACAACATATATCAATTTCAAAACAATCAGATAATAAATGTAGTCGGTAGAGTGTTCACAAGAAAGTGTGGGCAACGGACGGGGGTGACAGCAATATACGACCACATTTCCATGTGGGTGTATAAAAAAGCTAATGCTTATATAGGCATGCCCATGGCGGAAGTCTGAGGGTTAAATTAATGTCATAAATTTATCATCCATATAAAAACAAGCCATATTTATGAATAAGATTTACAGTCCTATATTATAATGTGGAAGATGTGAGGGTCATCCACTAATGGCTTTTACATAAAAAAATAACCTAGATATAATCAGCAATTAAAACAGTTATTTTGATCAATATAATAATAAAATATCATCGATGTACATGTAACTAATAGTTATCAAAAATAAGGTATATGTTGATTAGCATAAATAAGGTAAACAACTTTCTTATTGTAAGTAAAATAAATGTCATGCAAAACACATCTTGGATAAATGGATAAGTCATTGGTTGCCAGGCATCAAAATGAAAATGCTATAAGTGGTTTTAAGCAAATACAGTGACTAATTTTATTTACATGTAGTCCAAGTTAAGAGTGGAATCTATTTTCTTGTAAGCTTTATAATTTAAATACAGATATTACATTTTTAAAAACATAAATTGTTAATTTTCTCATTTTTTCCCCATAAGTCAGATAACATAATACAAATGAGCTGACGGTTATTTCAGAAAATTGCACATTTATTTTTTTTTTAAAGCATTGAGCAATCATACTGCTTATCTAAACATAAATTCCACAATTTGGGAATTGAAAAATCAGATTTTTGATAGTTCTTTGATGTGACCAATGGAACAATCTCTACAAATGTAAACAAATTCCGTTAAGAACTCAGACGTGTAGTGTTCATGAAAAATTGTGGGCAAATGACAGACAATGGACAGAGGTGACGACAATATATGTTTACCATAAATGTGGGTGTATAAAAATGAGTAAAAAATATAATATAATAATAGTAAAGTGACTATATAATTTGTGTATTTATATTTTTGACTAATGCATTTATGATCACCTTTCCCTCCATCATCGGTGGGATGTCAAAATGTAGGATGTAGTAGTATATTTTGGAAGATGTTTCTTTATTATATACAACTATAAATTATTAACCATAACTCCATGTTTCAGCCCTGGATGTTCAATCCAATTTGTGCAGGTATTTACATGTTGTATAAACAGCTACCCGCTACACAGGCATATATTATAGAAATATTGGAAACAATCTTAAGAACATGATATTTTGTGTACATATTGTGACCTGAAACTTTTGTGATTTTTAACAGATATGCATTATTTCGCTCTCGTAAAAATTTGGTAAAACCCATTCAAGATCTTCTGACTCTGCAGCAAGTCAGCATCAATATACACTACAATCCGAGTATCAGCCAATGATCTGCAGAACATCAACAAAGGATTGGTCATTTTTCAGTAGTGACTTGTATTGTTTTATGTTTCAACTTTATGTAAATTAAAAAGAAAATATAATTGTACATGCAAAACAAATTGAAATATGTTTCAGTATTTGGATGTTTTGTCCTGGATGTATGTAGAAACTAGAAACCTTTTCTTTGATCCATGATCGACTGTAGATCAGATAATCACAAATATATTGAAATTTTATGGACATTATATAAATTTTTCATTTACATACAAATATAATTTTAATTTGAAAGTGCAGGCAATAGCAAATGGCATGTCAATTAACCAGTTGATTGGAAGTGTCAAAGGGAACATCAAGAATCAAAAATATACACCGCAAAATAAACATAACCATGTAGGTTCATCAAAATATTTGATTTGGATTTGATGATTTTACAACGTCACACATATAATGATAAAAAATAAATCATAGCTGTTGATTAAAAGACATTTTGAGGATTATATTGCTACACTACAACAATTATATATTTTGAAAGAAACAAATGCAATAATACTGAAAAAAGTGTACAATTCTCAAATATGAACTAGACTTATTTATGGAAGTTGACAAATTATTTGAAACACATATGTTCATGACTGGCAGTTATGCATTTATAAACCTAATTCTAAGAATGCTATCTATGTTGTAATTAGATGTTTGGAAACTTGGGGGTAAAATATATCCTTTACTAAAACCTTTCACAACTTTGATCACATGTGAACTAAAGTATAGTGGGTAAATGAGACTACTTCATTGTGGCTATATTTGTGAAGGGTTGAAGTTAATGTGCCCTTCCTACCCCACTTTCCCCTAGTTTAATCCCTGTTGATTTTTTGCAATTATTTTGAAAAAATATAATATTCCCTGTGAGGACAGCAGGGCTACAATCTTGGGGGTTTTTTTGCATCAAAATTGAATAGTAGTGTAAACTTTATGCTATGTATAAAAAATGTTCTATATCATTTACCAAATCAGTACAAATTGTAACACACCATAACATCATATATTTAGTGACTCATTTATAGTCAATTGTTTCACAGTATAGAATTAAAGATACATTATGGGAGATAAGATAAAGAGCTGGCAGTTCTCACTATAATAGTTAAAAACTAGATAATGTAAAGACTATTTGCTGATAATTTCAGTCAAATTGATCCATTATGAACCGAGAATTAAGCGATTGAAATTTTGGCCTATCCTCGATCATCATTACTAAAGTCTGTACGATAAAAAACATAGTCTCGATCATCCATTTCATGATTAAATGGAAGTCAAGCAGCAAATGGGATCATAATCCAGTAAATATCGCAGGCTAGCGATGCCATCAAGAGTTGATTATGGTCTGGATAAGTTAATTAATGTCTAATTAATAATTTAGATAAACATTTCAGGCCTAAAGAAAGACCTGCAATTGGCAGATTTGGCTCTTGCATAATGTATGTTTAATTTATCCAAAATCTAAGGTTATTCGCAAATTATATGTATATTTAGATATCAAACAAATAACTATAGAGGCAATACTGAGAGAATTTGAAAACCACATTTAATTTCTAAAATATTTCTTGCACAGAATTATATACACAGTGTGCAATTCTATGGAATACAATTATTGTCTATTAGTGACTGACGTTTATACTATAATTCTCTAATCTTTATCAAGAAGTAATAAACAATATTTGTATTCCAAACAATACTATTTCCAGTATTAATTGGGGGTCCTTCCTGACTGGCTAAAAATAAAACTGCCTATTTTACATGATAGTTTATATTCAAACTATTTTTTGATTTCACAAGATTTGGCAGAGAGGTAGAATAAAGAACACATTTTGACTGAAGGGTTTGCTAAATACAGCTTTAGATTTAGATATTACAAGTCAACTTAAATTACCACTAGAATATTGTCATTAACTGATTCAAAGAGAAATGTATATTGAAAATTTGAGATAATTAATTGTATAAAGAGCAATGACAATGTTGTAATTGAGCCTATATAGTAGTTCTATATGAAACTGTGTATAGATTGTGCCAAATGTAAACAAATGAAGTGCCATAAGACTATTATTAACTATTTCCTTGGACCAAACTAGAAAATCATCATATTCCTTTAGGACTGTACAAACTTCTTTTTATTTACATGCATGCATGAAGCTTGACAACAAACTTTTTACAAGTCATGACATAAAATAAAATGGGTGTTTCTGTTTTTTTTTTTTTGTTCTTCTTAAGGCCTTTGTACATGAGTGTCGACACTTGACATAATTCGAATATTCAATATTTTGATCAGATAGAAGAATAATGAAGTTTTTATACAGCATACAACTTCTAGTTTTCAGCAATTCACAAACCCAGAAACCAAGTAGATTAGTTTATACATTCAATGATTTCAAATGAATGAATCTGAAATTTCTAATTGATGTATACCAATCAAACCAGATTCAAAATCTGGAAGGAATCTACATTCAGATTTATCACAAATGAACATTTGAATCACAAAAATCAAACGATACCCTACCCTTATTAAATAAAAGGGTTGTCTATGGTCATTACATCAACAGGCAGAGAAACTCAAACCAATGACTAGTTTGTATGCGTAAAGAGTATTTTATAGGAATTTCTTGCATAAACTGTGTCATAACTTCATAGCTACTTCAATAGCCTGAAAAATATTCATCAATAATTAATAAATGGAAAATAAACAGAATCTTATCATCCAAGTTGGTTTATGGACAGAGAGGTGAAAAATGTTTAAAAGGGGAGCTAACTCTGTACACAATGAAATCTTTCTATTCTACCAACATAATAATTCATTGCATTGATATACACTGAAAATATCTAGGAAGCGGAAACTTGCTGAACACTTAATATATTGATAGGGTTTATTATCACAAACTGCAACCTCTTTTCGTGTTAATGGCGGGAGTTAGGTGGCTGAATGGTTTAAGGCATGCATGTTAGATAATAAGGTCTGTCATTCAGTCAGTGGTGTGTTTTCAATTCTTGCTTACACATGACAGGGCGGTAGGATTGCCTGTCCAACCTCATGGGTTTTCTCTGGGTCTTCCAGTTTCCTCCTACTGCTAAAAACCCCTACATACAAGCGAAATATTGAAATAAAATTGAACTTGACATAGTTTGCATCAAGTGGTTGTTAAAAACAAGGTTTCTCTCTTTCTTTTCGGAAAAGGGGAGGAACAACGGAAGGTAGAGAAACACTGAATTTCGAGAGGTTTCCTCCTCTCATAATGCAATTCTCCATACTAAATTTGGAAAAATAATATATAATGCATAAATCTATAATTGGAATATAAACTGAACAAGAATTACTGATTGTAGCTCATGTTGATCAACAGAATGGACGATTTGACAAAATTATGAATGGATTATTATTTCCACATGTAGGTATCATTTCTTCTTAAAAGATTTTAAAAGTTCTTACGTCTTTAACAGCCTTTTCATTTATATTCACAAGAATCCATGTAAACAATTTCCTACGTGTTATTTGGAGAACTTCATATTGAAGACTATTTAATCCATCTATTTTAAACCTTTTCTGTCCATCTTTTAATAATGTACCTCTGAAAAATTGATGACATTTTCTTAATAACTCTATCCAAGATATAAATGATAAATTAAAATAAAACTGGAACAAAAGGAAATAACAGTATGCAGATAAATGTCTTGTAACACTGTAAGTGTTCCTATGAAACGCATCATCTATCGACAGCATTGTAGACTGTATGTACTCAATAGTTATCCATATCTCAACAAATCCGTCACTTTGTCCTATTCTGAAGATGAGCCAATAGGGGTCATATTAAACATTTGATCTCAAGGATGTCATACCTGTGTGAGATAATTTAGAGTGTTTTTGAGTTATATTGGGTACTTTGCGTGAAAAATCTCAATTAATTATTAATACAATTAAACTACATTTGTTTTTGGTGTATCAAAACACAAGGTCTTCAAACATACCATTTTCAAGCTAGAAAGTTTGTTTTGACAATGAAAGATTAAAATGATTCTTAAACCTACCTTACAGGATTTGGTGCCTCTTTAGCATGCGACATCATTTTATACCGAGCAACCTCTGAAGAATATCTTATAATACTCATTTTATTGTGAGCTATTCTGAAAATATACAACAATAAAACAATACGATAATTTGGTCTCATATTTAACAATGAAAATGCACTATTTGTATTAACGGATGGTTGTAAATCTTTTTTGAGAGATACACACTAAAGGTATTGAGCAGTCTAAAGCTAGCACTGTAAGTTTTGTTCATAGATATGACATTTTTTGTTATTTGGGGTGATAAACTACATATTAATCACCAAAAAATACCAATATTTACCAATTATGTTCCAAACTTAGCCCTAAAGCATGATAATAAATGGTGCTGATGACAACAAAAGTCGAATTTTCTCAGTTATACTTGCATGGATTTTCATCAAATTTGAAAGGAACAATGCTAATTGCTACGGAACAATTTTTGGCTAGAGGCTGTGGTGTGTCTGGCATCCACGGAAATGCAAAAAAACGATGAGTTTTCGTGGAAATTCTATTAGTACATATGCTAAAAAGAGATAGCGATAATCCCCTGCTTGATTCGAAAATAGAGGTTATAAGCGACATTTAATCTGATAAAAACACAGATCCTATTTCGTTTCATTTTTTATAGTTACAAATTTCTTGTCTTTACTACACTAGGATCTGGAAGAGTTGTCATATAACAGGTGTTTTAGTTGATGTGAGGGATTAGCCAATGAAACGGTCTGTTATGGCGAGTTTTTGGCGTGAGGTGCACGGAACTGTGGGTAACCTACTAGAAACATCAACACTGATACGCTGATTGGTCAATGAAATGTCTGATGTCATAGGGTCAAAAGCCACTCATATGACCTCTGACGCAACCTTCCACTATAACCAGTCAGATCTTCATATAGTGTAGGCCATCGAAAGTATAAAAAAAAAGAAATGAAATATAGATCTGTATTTTAATCAGATTAAAGCGACATTTCAACACCAAAAATGTTATGAAATATCAGCTCAAAGTATTTTAAAATATTTACCTTTAAACAAGATTTTGTGATTTTGGGTTAATTCTTTGAAAATTGAATGCGTCCACAACAAGTTTTAAAATACAAAAATTTGGATGTAAAGGTAAATAATTACTTCAGTGAACTACTCTGCTGCTCTCAAAATCATTTTATACATTCAAAAATGGTAGTCTTCGACCATCAAAAAATGAAATTCAGCCATTTTTCAGTCGCGATAGATGGTAGACCTGGATAATTGCATCTTAGAGGTAATTCCTTCTGACGTCATAGATAACTGCTACTGGAGACGGCCATGATTGTTTACTGCCGATTCCGTGAATGGGGTGCACTACATCATAATTTATTCAAGGAATGATCTAGGTTGGGGAAACCTACTCGTTTGCTATAAATATTTTTTTTTCTTTCCACTTGTATCTCCATTATTACACAAAAACGGTCCCACTGTTATGTGTCCTCTGGGTTATGTTACAAATGGAACAGGTGTGCAAAGTCTTAATAAGATTGATCTTGAAAAGTTAGTGCGTATTTAAAGACTACTCAACGCCCTTAATGTAAAAACATCAACATCAGATCACAATGATAAAATTTGAGAATAATGTTTTTATGATCATGTAAATGCACCACATATCAATTCTGTCAAATGCAAAAAATTGAATTTGACAGAATCAAAATGTTGGTAAGAATTATATCAAGGTTTTCTACGTGTTCAAACAACAAAACCAAAAATTTTAATAAATAAAGCACGACATAAATTGTTTGTGCAAATAAAGCAGTCTAATGGACACTGGACAGTATCCAAATCGGGATTCATTTATTTACATTCCAGAAATGGCTATTTAGAGTGAAGCTTTTGACTGGAAATAGAATTATTAGTGGCCAAGTATAAAACGAATCTGGATTTGGATTGAATTAATCCAAACACACCCTAGGTTGAACCATGCAAACTTCTATAATAGCACAGTTCCGATCCTAGATTTAAATGGCTTTTCAAGATATAATTAATTTTGGGAAGTCATCAACTCACCAGATAACCTTATTATCATCGAAAGAATATGTTCTACATAAATTAATAGCATACCTATTATACATGTCATCATCTTCCCCACCCCATCCAAAATATGAATTTGAAAAACCATTAACAGTTTCGAACTGTTCTTTTGTCATTGCACTAACACCTCCAAACAGCTGATTGTAGGGTAATCTGAAAAATATAATATGAAATGAACATTTAAATATTATTATATTGGTATTACACTGTTTATCTTTTAGCAGTAAATTTCTGATTTGTAAACAAAAGATATGTTGCCAGACAACAAAACATACACCCACAGAAGCTAAATCAACCTAGAAGTCGACTAGGGTTGTCGCATATTTATTCTTCTATAATGTGTAGGTAATGGGAGCATTTACTAGAAAATGGTATCAATTTCATACAGATAATGAAAATATTTGAAATTCTATAAGATTCTCTGTTTTACTAATGTTAATAATGCACATAAATTTCACAAATAACGAATGATAACATTTGTTGTTAGACCATTCACAGGGTTCTACAAAGTGAAACGAGGGCCATAACTCCAGTAATTATCAACAGAAATTGTTGAAATTTTGTGTGCTTCTCTGTTTTACTAACTTAAATAATGCCCATAAATTTCATACAGATTGAATAATAGCCTTTCTCGTTAAAGCATTCACATGGTTCTACAAAGTGAAATAAGGGTCATGACTCTAGAATTAACAAAGATAGGTTGCCATGCAATGAAACATACGCCCACAGCAGCTAAATCATCCGGGCAGTCAACAAGAGTTGTCGAAAATTTTTACTTTTTTCGGTAATGAAACATTTATAATACACTAAAATCTGATTAAGAGTAACAACTCATGAAATAATTATCAGAGTTTGTTTGGTTTTTATAAAGTTCTGCCTCATTCTAACATTTAGTATACAAAACTTTTTATATCATAAAAATTCATTGAAAATCAATATACTTGTTCGTCGCAAGATCTTAAAAACTCTGTGTATCAATCTGAAGTCAATCGGATGATAACTTTAGCCTCTAGAGTGTCACAAGATTTTTCAAAGTGATCAAGGGCCATAACTTTGGCAGTAATTATCGGAAATCGTTGATTGTTCGTCTCATGACCTCAAACACTATGTATAAATTTAAAGTCAATCGGATATTTTAACCTTAGCCTCTAGAGCATCCACAAGATCTTTTGAAGTGATCAAGGGCCATAACTTCTGGCAGTAATTATTGAAAATCGCTGAAAATGAATAGACTTCTTCCTCTCATGACCTTAATCTGTGTATTAATTTAAAGTCAATCGGATATTAACTTTAGCCTCTAGAGCGTCCACAAGATTTTTTCAAAGTGATCAAGGGCCATAACTCTGGCAGTAATTATCATAAATCACTGAAAGTGAAAATCAATAGGCTTCTTCGTCTCATGACCTTAAACACTGTGTATAAATTTAAAGTCAAAAGTATTTATAGGATGGTTATTTCCAGTAAAATTTGGTACATTTGGAAAGTAGAGACACCTAATCTAACTAGAAAAATTCTGTATTCCCTGAAAAACACCCATGTTTTTATAGTCCAAATATATCATGAAATCATACAGTTTGTATATGGGAAGGCATCTTTAATAATCTGAAATATTAACTTACCTATACTTCATTTTATCAATGGCTACTGACATGTGACGAGGTCTCTCTGCACATGTGTATAAATTAAGATCATTTTCTGGTATGAGGTCCACATCGTGAAAAATAAAACAGTTATAGTTGTGAAGCTTTAAGGCTTCTACAAACCCAATATTAAATAACATAGCTCTATTAAATTTGACATCAGAAACCTGAAAAAGACAAGTTAATGGAAGCAAGTCTGAAAATAATGATTTTAGTTGTACATGTCAAAATGTCAATCAAACAATAATGAACCATTCCAGTATACCTGACATAAGGCACTAGATGAGTTGTGTCTGACAAAGCCTAAATTTGTGCTTGACAGTATCTGTGAAAGATACCTTATTTCCAAGGCTTGATACGTTATTTCTACAAATGTACCATGTAACCTATAGATAATGGGAATGAGAAATCTTTAGTGGATTAGGTGTGTAACAGATGGACGCATTAAGACTATTACAATAATTATATGCTTCAGCTTCTAATATGATAAAGTTTAGCAGATTTAAAATTACTGGTGATCAATAGACTGTTTATATCATTGTCACCCAGAAGACAAAATGAGGGATTCAAACCAGCTAAAATTTGCCTGGCACTCACTACCTGTCTGTGGGAGGGTGTTATTTTTTCCACCTGAACAGCTTACATGGATTGCAGATATTTATGAGCTGTAATGGATATATGTATGCACAATTTAACGGATAATGATGTCAGAATGACAAAGTGGTTTGGTTAGTTTTTTTGGTTTTTTTTTTATTGTCTGTGTTGATAATGTAAACTATTTCCTCATTGTACATGTATATGACTAGCAATTTCAAACTAAAATAGTTTAACCTTGCCGTTTGAATGGCATAAAGAAGCCTGAATTGAGATTACATTGGGTTGGGTCTTGGGATGCCTCTGTTCAAATACTGTACTAAATTAAAGATCGTGTTCATGACAGAACCATGATAAGCAAAAAAACTGACTAACAAGCAACAAAAAAATATTTAAATTTAAAGCCACTGATTGTCATTTTCTTTTTTTTTTGGAAAAATCAAAATTTTCCACAACTTAATCCATGCTTATAATTATCATGTAATTAAGATAAGATCAACTACTATCTTCTTAAAACATATACTTACCAATTCAATCACAAATATTCCGTAGTCTAATTGTTGTTTTCTCAGGAAAGGATGAATATTTTGTAAGAATAGTTTCAAATGTGATTGTCGATCTCTGTATGGTATTAAGATGGCAACATGGTGACGTGGTGTACAGTTTGAAGGAGAGTAACATCCCCCTGGCTGTAATTCTCTGTTATTATCCTCTATAGTTTTATAACTTAATATATCCCTATTAATTATTATAGAACCAACTGAAATATAACCAAAGTAATATTTCAAATAATAATACTTAGAATTTGTTTCAGTGCTAATTGTAAACTAAAATCATCCCAATAGAAACAAGCCAACAGTGAGGCTGATGTTCCCTGCCGATTCTTTTCATTGATCTATAGAGCCATAGTGTTGCACTGCTTGCAACAATCTCTAATATAATTAAGTTTATGGCATAATGGGACAGGACATACTGTTCGTCGAAAGTCGAAACATAATAGTTATAATACATGTTTCTTGTATTAAATCTTTTATAACTCTTAATTACAAAAACATACTTGATTAAATGTTACAAACATTCTTTATATATATTATAGGTACTGTATACATGTTTTTACTATTCTGTTGTGATCTACTTGTAGCTCGAAAGGTTTCTTGCTTTATTGACAAGACTACACTATATGTACTTTACCCTTGTGGTCAAATATCAATGACTCACTATGTGTATATGCAGTAATACGGTTTCTAAAATTGGCATTCAAGATTGGAATTATGGTGAAATTTGATTATGAGGATTAATATGGAAATCCCCCATACTATTTCATCATGCAGATTTACACAAATGTGAAAAGTGGCAGGTTTTCAAAATTCAATTTAAAATGTATTAATAACACTTCACTGATACATAATCCTCTTCAACAGGTCTGTTGTGTGATATGTTAAGTTTTTATTGTACTTTATTATGTGTAGATATATTGTGAGAAAATTGTTAAATTGAAGTACATAATTATGCACTTCAATTTAACAATTTTCTCACAATATATCTACACATGAAAATCCAGTTATGGTTACACCTCACAAAAACCTTTTAATTCAATTGTTTAGTTAATGCAACTGTCTAATATTGTTATAATAAATGGTATTTATTGCAACAGTAAAATTAATGAATACTAAATACATGTAGTTTTAAATCTGCCTGTTAGATTTGTGTATTGCATTCACAATTGGAAAGTATACGTTGGTGAATAAAACCATCAAGTTTTAATGGATCCAAAATCGAATTGAGATGTGTTTTTTTTCTGTACTGCATTTACAAGCTTTAATAAACAAAACATTCAGAAATGACTTTCTGAAAATATTTAAAATTTACAGAGTTCTTTCTTATGCCACAATGAATAATTTTAACAGTTTTAAAAAAATATGTTGGAAATTTACTATAGGGTCTTTTCTTATACTGTACTCTAATGAACAACTGTAAAACCTTCCATTAGAACACTTTGGTGTATTGTGTACACAAGTTTTCATAAGTTTCAATGTAACCCTTAAAAATAAAATGTCTAACTTACCTAAACCTGGAGGGATGATGGGACATAATGTGGTATTACGGTGGGATGAAGAAAAGTTAATATTTAGTGATCCAATACTGCTATCAGCTAGATACTTTCTAAATTGGAATATACTTAATCTCCGAGAATTTTTATTGGCCCACACCAGATTAAAGAAAGACTTAAAGTTCAGCACTGCACTCTGATTGTATATCATGACATAGCCCAGAAGTAGTAGGATCAACACCACAATCCATTGTACAACTTTACTTCGGATGTTGTTCATGGTGAAAAGTTTTGCAAAACTGAAGCAGCATCGCAGAATATCAGGCATGGCTGACTTGGTCTTGGTTGGTGTGATGTTCAGTTCATCTATTTGAGGCGTTTCATTTCATCTGAAAAAGTCAATCAATAATAATCATGTACATATGCTATCAGCATGTATCCTAATAGTTTATGGTAATTTCACAGACGATGATTAGAGTAATGTAATACATGTATCAGGATCTCAATCTTCAATAAATATTGTTTTTGACCAGGCCATTCATAATTGGCTAATCATTACTATTCCAATTCATAAAGTTGTTCTTGAAAATGAAATTAAGTGTTATTTTGAAAAAACAATGGAACAATAAATAGGGTTTAAGTATTAATAGTCAAAATATATGTATTCAGACAGCAAAAATAGACCCACGGCAGCCCCTGCTGTCTACAAAGGCAGAACATATAAATTTTTCTTGAGCATTGGGAGGATTGACAAAAAACAAAAAACTGAGCAAGTTTAGAATTGGCAGAAATAGTTAAAATCCGCTACTATCAACAAATCCCTTACCTATACATTGTATGTACATAACTGGAATGTATAATGAACTATTAAAGCACTAGATTCCAGTTCTTCATCAGGAATATTTAGTCGTTTTTCCCTATCAATGAGAAATTCTATGGCAAAACATATTGTGCGAACATACAGAGAGTGTTTTATGAGACATAAATAACAATGCAGCAAACAGTTTCAATGGGTCTATTAACAAATTGCACATTGTAGTCAACTTCACTGTTGTAAAAGTCAGTATAAAATGACGATTTTGACTTGTTTGCATCAAGTTTTTCAAATATCCAGTACTTGCTCCTAATGTATACACATCTCTATATTTGATAAATATGAGTTCATTGATTATAAACTGTGGTTAAACTAAATACATTTACGATAGTTGAAAGATACATTATGGGAGATTAGATAAAGAGCTGGCAGTTCTCACTATAATATTTAAAAACTAGATAATGTAAAGGGAATATGCTGAAAATTTCAGTCAAAAGGCTCCACTCTGAACCAAGATATTAGCCATTGAATTTAAGGCCTAAGACTTAGCCTTTATCATCATTACTAATGTCGGTACGATAAAAAACATAGTCTCGATTATCCATTTTTGGTTTTAATCATCAATGTGCATTGAGCAGCAGATCAGATTGAAATCCAGTGAAAATCTGACACATAAGATGACATTGAGAGTTGATTAAGGTCTTTACATGTTAATAAATGTCTAATTAATAGTTTATATAACATTTCAGGGCTAAAGAAAGACCTGCAATAGGCAGATTTAGCTCTTGCATGCTGTATGTTGAACATCTATAATGACTGGTATTAAATTCTTGGCAAAACTGTGGAATGTACAGATAGACTCTCTTATCAAAACACAAAATTCCAGATGGATTAAGCACCTTCAAGTTCGAACAAATCAAATATCAACTGAAAGTTGGAAACGACTGACAAAGAACACTAAAAACCTTGATTTAAAATTACCTGCATAAGCATAAGAAAATTCCCAAAACGCGTACACATGGATGAAAACTGACATGTAGAATAATATAACCTACCGGTATCTACAATCACTTTAAAGAGATATTAAGATATAAACCTGCCACAAAGAGAAGCCACAGTGAAAACACAAACCTCTAAATCTATAATACAAACAGGGTTATGTACTATCTATATCATAGTTTTCAGGAGAAACAATCACTATGTATGCAACCATGCCATTTACAATAAATCCTGTGTATATCATATTTGTATTGTCATTACATTACTCGTCATAAGCATATAATTTCTAGATACCGGCGGTACTGTATATTAAATACTATAGGCATACAGAAAGCATATGTCTCTTCACTAAAATTAATAACTAACATCCAAAGAAGGGTCATATAAGGCATAACATTTATACCACAAATGCTTGACAAAATCTGGAGGGTTAATTCCACCACTGTGCAAAATACATGGTATTTTATAAAGTGAGAACATTAAAATGAAAGGAAGTAAAATGAAACAAGTCTTAATCACTTAATGATATAAATACTAACTATATACTGTCTATAACTACCAGTAAAAGATAAATTTTATATAGTGCAGTATGCACCGTGTGTAGAATACCTTCATTAAAATATCTCATTTCTTGTTCATTTCATTTACTCACGAAATTTTGTATGTCCTTAGAAATGTAAACTACATGTAAGTTGTAACAGTAAAAAGAAATACACGAATATAATCAAACTATTTGAATAGTAAACATGTGTTCATCTTCTTAGTACTGAATGAACTTTGACAAAAATCAAATAAAAAATGATGTACATTCAGCCAAGAAGAACTTTGGGATTTATTCAAGATCAGTTGTCAGACTACATTGATACATACATGTATATAAATAACACATGCAGGATTGGTAATGATGTAGTCTACATGGTATGTCTGGTTACTACATGTATTCATTTATATGACCAAAGCTGAGTTCTATGTCAACTGTTTATACATTAATATGAATTATGAACACAAAGGGACCCCTTGACAATTTGAATTTTATAGTCGAATATCTCAAATGTCATGCTGAATCACACAACAGACCTTTTTCCTGTTATTTGTAGTTAGTAGTGGTGTTGTGCATGAGGCAGTGTATGCTTAATCTTTATAGAGCAAACTGTTCATAATTCTCATTTGAGGTATTCACATAGTTAACAACCTCTTGTAGTACTTTATTAATACATTGTTAGTCTCAAAATATATGCATAATATTAATAAGTTAAAGATATTATGCAAGATTTAGAGAAAGAGCTGGATATTCTTTCTAAAATAGTTCAAAAATGAAGATTTGGCCAGTAACTCTACACACATTTCATGGTCTTGATTGTCAAGTACCTTTGCCACGATAATAAGTCTTGATTGTAAGCCCTTCTTGCAGCAGTTTCCACCCCTATAAGCGTTTAATGCAGATATGACGGGCATTGTCTAATCAACTCAATATCTAAGCCATAATTCAATGATCTAGTGTATTGATTAAGGGCTTGTCATGTGAAAAAATGTCTAAATAATCATTTAAATAACAATTGAAGCCAGAAAGATACGTTGCCAGGCAACGAAACATACACCCAAACCGCTAAGTCGTCCAGGCAGTAAACAAGTGTTGTCACATTTTATTTCTTTTGTCAGTAATGAGAAAATTTACATCACATGAAAATCTGATTATGAGTATTAACCCATGAAGTAATTATCAGAAAACATTATAACTTCTACAAGATTTTTTCAAGGTGGTCAATTATTGAAAATAGTTGAATATCAATAGGCTTCTTCGTCTCTAGAGAGTCAACAAGATATTTCAAAGTGATCAAGGGTTATAACTCTGCCAGTAATTATCGGAAATCGTTGAAAATCAATAGGATCCTTCGTCTCATAACCTTAAACAACCTTAGAGCATCACAAGATTTTTCAAAGTGATCAAGGGCCATAACTTTGGCAGTAATTATTTGAAATCATTGAAATTCAATAGGATCCTTCGTCTCATGACCTTAAACAATGTGTATAAATTTAAAGTCAATCGGATATTAACTTTGGCCTCTATAGTGTCTACAAGATATTTCAAAATGATCAACGGCCATAACTCTGGCAGTAATGATCGGAAATCGTTGAAAATCAATAGGATCCTTCGTCTTGTGACCTTAAACAATGTGTATAAATTTAAAGTCAATCGGATATTAACTTTAGCCTAAAAAATATATTTCAAAGAGATCATGGGCCATAACTCTGGCAGAAACTATCGGAAATTATTGAAAATCAATAGGATTCTTCGTCTCATGAACTTAAGCCCTGTGTATAAATTTAAAGTCAATCGGATATTAACTTTAGCCTCTAGAGCTTCCACAACAGTTTTCAAAGTGTTCAAGGGCCATAAAACTGGTAGTAATTATCGGAAATCACTGAAAATCAATAGGATTCTTCGTCTCATGTTCTTAAGGGAAAATTCCCAAATTGATTTTGGAGAATAAAACTGCTTAAGTTTGTGTGAAAAGCCCTTAATGACCTCTAACTTAGCCTAGAGCAACTACCGCAAGCCATAATCTTTCAGAGGCATTTAGTAACTGGATAGAGCAATACACAAAAACACATACTTATGGAACCAGCGGCTGCCAGGCAGGATACGCCCACATTTTGCAAGAGATGGATAGAGAACAAGCTAAACAAAAAGCGATTTTTGAACAATCAAGGGCCATAATTCAGGAAGTTACGATCCGATATGCGTGAATATCGACAGGAACCAAGATCTTTGGGTTATAAAGATATATTTCAAGTTTCATCAAAATCGGCACAAAATTGTGACCTCCAGAGGGTCCACAACCTTGATATACCAGATGTTTACACTATTTGTGTACAAGGGGCGGCCATTTTGTCTGGCAGTTTTGGTCTGATTTTCATGAAATTCGAACTCAACCAACCCTACGGTGTAACGGTGATATATTTGAATGTTTTTTAAATCAGATAATAATTGTGACCTCTAGAGCAACCACAAGCTAAAAACGCAATTTTTTGTACAATCAGGGGTCATAATTCCGGAAGTTACGATCCGATATGCACAAATATCAGAAGCAACCAAGATCTTTCGGTTATAAACATGCATTTCAAGTTTCATCAAAATCGGATTAAAATTGTGACCTCTACAGGGCCCACAACCTTGATATACCATATTTTTACACTATTTGCGTATAAGCCATGGCCATTTTGTCCGGCAGTTTTGGTCTGATTTTCACGAAATTCAAACTCAACCTTCATTATGGTGTAACGGTCATATATTCAAACGTTTTTTTAAATAGGCAATTTTTTGTACAATCAGGGGCCATAATTCAGGAAGTTACGATCCAATATCTGCAAATATCGAAAGCAACCAAGATCTTTGCATTACAAACATGCATTTCAAGTTTCATCAAAAGGCAATTTTTCCTACAATCAGGGGCCATAATCCATGAAGTTTCGATCCGATACATGCCAATATCGAAAGCAGCCGAGATCATTTGGAGATAACCCTATATTTCAAGTTTCGTCAAAATAGGATAAGAATTGTGACCTGTAGAGAGT